TTCGTTATTCCATTACATCATAATTTTCATAGAAATAAACATTCTAAAAGGAACATTCCTAGTATTCTAAATACATTCTAACATTCTAAAAGGAACATTCTAAATTGTATTCTAAATTGTCTTTAATCCCTTATATAGAAAGATATCTCGTTTTTAAACAAAAATATTAATCTATCCTAGACACATCTAGATATATGTATTTATCAAACTATTCTCTAGATATCTAATCCTTCACTTAATCAATCTCTTTAAATTAACAAATTAATATCAAACCTTAAGTCATTTCAATATTTAATTAACATTCAATTAATTATTGATTCACTCCAACTCTAAGACATCTTTTTACTTCAAACTTAAAATCTCAGTCCTTATATTAGTCCATAGTTCTAGGTTGCCTATAATCCAATTTAAGAAATTTTAAATTTCATTTTTCAATCTTATTCTAGCTTTCCTCTTTTGCTAGGTAGGTTTCTATAACAGGGCTTCCCTTCCAGATAATAGGTCTCTTTTTGTTGCTTGTAGTGTCACTTGATTTAATACAGACCATCTTGATCTCTGATTTAATCCTCTGTTTCTCTTGTCCATAAAGCCTCGTTGCTTCAGAAGTCCAAAGTTCGGTCTTTGCTTTTCCTGGTCTTGCTTGTAAGGCGAAATAAGATTCTCCTTATCCTCAGTTAAAACCTCTTCTTGTATAATCTGTTTTGTAGAGTAGTCAAGTGTAATCTGGGAGTCAGTTTTAAGTTTTAAAGTAGAGATTCTGGCTCTTAGTTCTGTAGTAGCCTCTTTTATTGTAGTACATATTTCTTCTTTAGCCTCATAGATCTTTTCCAGTATAAGTTTACAGTTTAAATGTGATTGAGGCTTCTCCATTTTAGCAATAGTTGAAGAAGAATCCTTTTCCTTTTGGTGAAGGTTATAGTTGAACAGTTGAACATTATCCACCCCCACAGATCACACAGCTAGCTCAAATTATCTTTTTTCTTGAAAAACAGTTTGAAGGCCAAAGCTCTCTCATCTCCAAATAAACAACAATCCAATATTAACTTTTGTCCAGTAGGTGTCCTCAGTGAGCTAAAAAGACTTCTTCCAATGCCATTTTTTCCTTTTTTCTATCTTTTAAAGGGAGAATAGAAAAAGAAATACTCTGCCGATATAATACCGCTCCAAAAAGCACAAAAAAAGTTTTTTCTACAGCTCAATGTAAGTAGGAATAGAATATAATCTTTAAATGAATATTTATTTATTTTTTCTGTCCTTTTTTGTAAAACGCGTTTGTTCCCACAATTACTAAAGCCGCTTTCTCCAGACAGGGAAATAATAGCACAAACAGCTTCTACAGGCAAAAACAGCAGGGGTGTGGGGAGGAACAAAAGGGGTCTCACCCGGATTATCCGCGGTGGGTCTTTAACGCTCAGATGATGATGTGACTTTCGGCTGGTGCAGCAGGGTGATCGGCAGGCTGATCTTTGCTCCGTCGACCCTAAGGAGAAGCTGGAGACTTGGGGGAAGCTGTCGCCTTCCTCTATCTACCAGCCAGCCTCCTCAACTTGGTGGTCACCTCTCCAGGGTGACATTCGACCCCCTAGGGGGTCTACCGGCAAAGGAAACTCCGGACGGCCTGGAGAGAAGTTTCCAGGCGCGACCGGCGTTGCCGCATTTCGGAACCGGAAGTCAGACACTTCTTAAGCTTATGGGTGGCCCAGTATATTTTCTTTGTACCCAGCAGTTGTCTGTTTAGCTGAGGATTATTAAAGTTCAAGGGAACAGATTATTCTTTATTTCTGGGTGTCTTGCCAATTTCTGAGTCAGTGTTATACTATTGTTCTATGCTCTAGTTCTCCACTAGATGTCAGTAGTTATTTGTTTTCCAACTTTTTCAAACAAAGAATTTTCTTTTTTTTAAGGATATTTTAGGATATAAAATCTTAATGGTTTTCTTAATTTTCAGATTTATCCAGTCTATAGTAATATTAATTTCATTTTAGTATATTTCTTTCCCCCTTGGAAGTTAATTCACCACCTTTGTCTATGGAGGGATGGGGATGTGATCCCCTCCCTTCACTTTTGGATGATTTCTTGCTTTGGGGATCTTTTCCAAGGAATCAGTTACAAAATAGAAGAGAGAAGATCGATACTCTCACCCAGGTCCAAGCACGCTGTTCACCGTTCTTCTGGTTTATGCTCTTGGACTTCAGCTGCTAGCAGCTTAGTCTAGATGCTGGTGTGCAGCTAGCCTTTCTCCTGTCGGGTTAGATGGCTTCCCCCGGATCAAACGCTGTCGTTCCGTGATCATCAGAGTGCCCTTCTTTCTTCGTCGCCTCTCTGGAATGACATCAGACTTATTTAGGGTCTCTGGCAGGGCAAAACCAGTTGTGGGGTGCGAAGTCCTGTGCTTGCTGTGAGGCGGAACTGGAAGTCTCCAGAAAAGTAATTTCTGTAGTGATAACATTTCCCCCCCCCCAAACGCAACACCTGTTAATGTTAACAAATTATATTTTAAAAAACAACAAAAAACAACTTAAAAACCCCCAATAGAGTGAAACTAAACCTGGAATACCTGCCAGTAATACAGATTAAAAATTAGTTACACCTCATTACTTTGAGAAATATACACTTTCATTCAGTGGGAACTAAAATTAATTGAAGCAAGAAAATTATTTAAAGATGGTGTGAGCATAGCTAAAGTACTGCCTTTTTTGATCTTAAAACAGACAAGTAAGTAAATCAGCAACATAATACTCCGAAATTAAATTGCATTTCCACTCAGAAACTACATTTAGGATTTCAACACAGTTGCTTGATTAAAAAAGCACAAAAAGAAAATTGAGCAATTACAAATATATTGTTTGAAAAACAAAATGGGATAATCTTTACAATCATATTAAACTGGAAAAGATACGATAGGAAGAAATGAATTAACAAGATAATACAATTGATATAAATTTTACTAAATAAATGAGAAATAATCTATTGTCTTTTCCAAGTTTTCTACACAATGTATATTATTAAGAAAAGCACTCCATCTATTATTCTCCAGTCTTTGCATCTGCACCACAAGAGAAACGAATCACTTGGGAAGAAGAAACCAAGAAAATGAATAATTTGCTTATTGCTTAGATTAGAAACACAAAACTATAGAACTGAAATTTTGAGAAAATGTAAGTAATTCTCCTTGAACTGATCTTCTTGGCCAGAGTGCCAAAAGATCTGTGTACATGGAAGGCATTGGATTTGCTATATTGCACTAATAAATGAGAAATAGTTCTTCTGCCACAGACCTTGGCAGATGTTAACAATTTGAATCAATAATGACTTACATCGAAAAGAAGCAAGGGGCTAAGTATAAATAATTAACATATTTCCAGAAATACTTGCAACATGACCCTTTGCAGACTTCTGCACACTAACTCAGGATCTAGTTCTTATGAATAAATTACACTTTGAAATTTCTTTCTCAGTGTTTCTAATTATACTGGTAAATGTATGCATTTATCTGACATCATTTTTGGCTAAATGTACCTGAAGTTGCTTTCAAACACACATAGCAAGTTTTTGTAGGAATTCTAAATTTATTAAACAGCAATAGACTCTTCTCTATTATTACTAATGTTATACAGATTTGTCTTTTGTTATAAGAAGCTGCAGTAGACTCTCTCCAAAATAGAAAATGTGTGCATTAACGGCTATGATGAAAGGGGTTTTGAAAAATAGAAAAGGGGAGAGCGGGTCAATATCACTAATCTAATTCTCACAATAAAGTCCATTAGAAAAGGGTTGCAATGCATAATTTCAAATTGTTGTAACAAAACAAGGACATCTTGTGGCAGAGAACCTTGTAGACAGGGAAGTGGGAAGCAGACTAGCAAGTAACAGAAAACAAATATTTGGACCTCTTTTAAAACTACATATCTAAATTTGTGGCAGTGAATTCCAGTTTTAGCTTTGTCTTGTAGGAATTAGTACTGAATCCTCTGTGTGGTTTCAATACATGACTGCAATTCATACTGTGAGTTAAGAACAACTTCTATTTTTCTACAGTGCACGATTTTATATATAGTACTTTATCATGTCTTCTATAACCTCACTTTGCTTCAAGTTAAAAAGCCTCAAATGCTGTTGGCTTTTTAAAAAGCTGGACTGGACTTCTCTGTGACATTTGGCTACCTGAAACTGAACAGAAAATCATTTTTTCCACCTTATATTCAAATACATGGTATCCAACATGCCTAAGCCCCAAAAATCATACACTCAGAAGCTAAGCAACTTTTATTTGAATATCTAACAAGCTGAAGTCTTCCATTTGCATTTTAATACTCGTTACCCTGTTACCCTGCCTCCTCCTCTTCCACCCTATGTGCTTTTCCGAAGGAAAGCTTTTTTCCCTCAGATCCTTCCCGGAGTTAAAAATTATGGACGATTCACCCCCCCCCCCGTTCCCCAAAGAGCTTTTGCTGTCAGCATTTGTTCGTGCGGGTTACATTACCAATATTAACTGTATTAAGTTTTAAAATGAATGCATTTGCTGTCGTTATTTTTCACAATTGCTTAATAAGATTTTAACACTTTTATTCTTCAACGTAGACCGGCAAATAAAATTGATTTCGCGGACCGAACACTGGCCAAATGTAACTAATACATGCGTTTTGTTGCATAGCAAATATAATGCTGGGGTGGTTGCACCTGATCTATACTGCAGGATCTCGGTCCTTTACCAGACAGTCTAAAAATAATGGGATTCCGACTTAGGGCTGCAACGTAACTAGGGGCGTCTTCCGAGCCTTCTGCTCGGAATACAGGGAGAAGCGCTGCGAATGTTCACTTATTCGATTTACGCCCCGCCTTTTGCATAGGAGCTCCGAGTAGGGGGACACCTATTTTTTGCAACTGCCGCAGGAACAGGGTTGCCGGTTAATGACAGCGATTACCCACAGCTTCCCGTGCCACAGAATTGCCGGGGGCAACTGAAGCGGATCCCTCGTTGTGCTTTTCCTTCTCCCCAGATAAGCCCGGAGGCGGCGACCGTTGCTAAGGGGAGGGAAAAGCGTCACGTGACAGATTTCAAATGAAAGAAATGGCCAAGGCCGGGAGCCGCGGAGTGGAGAGATGGCGTTTTCCCCCTGGAGGGCAGCCGGCAACCGAAGGCGAGCCGACAGGCGAGTAGCCAGCAACCTTTTCGACTTCTTCCAACATTTCCAGTGGGGTCGAGTCCGAAAATACTGAGGGGAGAAAAGGAACTGGGGTGGACCCAAAAGGGTTTTTTTGTTTTTTAATGACGCCGGTAAGGGTAATCGTCTCTTCCTCTGATGGTGTGGGAGAAGGGGCTTCGTGGCCGTCTGCACAAATGAGGTTTCTCTGCCCATTTTAAGATGCAATAGGCGCTCGATTGAGAATGGTGGACATGGTATGCCTGTTGTAGCAACTGTTACTGCCGTGGCTTCGATCGCTCGAGTATATTATCTCTTATTTCTTTATACTTTTTATAATTCTTTGTCTGCCTTTGAGAAAGCAGCATATTTGGTTTACCTTTATCTACGCCTTCGATAGGATAATTCGAAAATAGTTGGACCAACTCCCAGAATTCCCCAGTCTGGGTTGCAGTGTCAATTCCCCATTGATCTGGATTGCAAAACTCTAGACCAGGGGTTCCCAGCCAGCGGTGCTCGCACCCCGTATGGGTGTGAGACGATATTCCAAGGGGTGCAAAAACTTGGGGTTTCAAAATTATAGTGTATATGCATAATTCGTCGCCGTTATTTTGAACGTTTGCAAGGGGTGCGAGAATATATCAGAAGCATTCTAGAGGTGCAGGGTATAGAAAAGGTTGGGAGCCGCTGTTCTAGACAGTTATCAGATGATAGCAGGACCCTCTCTTTCCTACCATTCCATGTTGTTGTTGTTGTTAATTGCGAAGTCGGGTCTGACCCATCGCAACCCCATGAACAACGTTCCTCCAGGTCTTCCTGTCCTCTACCATCTTCTGGAGTCCATTTAAGTTCACACCTACTGCTTCAGTGACTCCATCTAGCCATCTCATTCTTTGTCGTCCCCTTCTTCTATTGCCCTCAATCTTTCCCAGCATTAGGCCCTTGTAAATATGCAACCATATGCTTTTGCTATACATATCTGTAACATATAGTAGGTTGGGTTATGATTGACCCATATTAGGAATCTTCTTGGCCAAGTGTGGATTTGATCCTGGATTATCTCACTGTACTACACTGAATAGTGTTAGTGACTAAGTTGCAAGTAGTTGCTATTTGCACTACAGAAAAATACATAGGATGGTTAACAAATGTGTATTTTTTTTTACCCTTTCTTGATTTATGCTTTACAAGAGAATATAATGAAAGATTCCTAATGAGAAAGAATAATCCTGTTCTTAAAGCATAAGATGAGAGGAGAGGTTGCTTCATCTCTATTGTTAATTCTGCAAATAAAGAACTAGTGCCCTTGAGGGAAGACTTTTTGCTCCCCAGAATTCATTAATATGCACAACTTCAAAAATCTTGTGTTTAGGGAGGCTTTTCAAATATATTACTGGCTTTCATGCAGACTTTTTATGTGAGAGTGTTATGGGGTTATATTATCTATCACCATATCAGTGACTTTGGGCAATGTGCAGGACCTGTGGGTTATGAACGTGTTCATTTAGCGAGGGATTTCCATACAAGGTATGAACTACTTGGATCATGGTCCCTACTCGCTTAAAACTTCTATGTCCTTTTGTTAGCCCAAATATGAAGTGGACAAAAAATATAATTTATGGATCTTGGCTTGACAGGAGTGGAATTACAGGATCTGGGTTCAAATGAGATCCTTTCCAATCTGGTGCATTCTCTGTTATTAAGCTATTTCTCAGAAAAGCCAAATAGGAGCTTTGGGGCAGTGTTCGCTTGCAGGTCTTTGGTTGAATAAACTTGAAGAACTTTAGTTTACTCTTGTGTGTGAGTATATCTGTAGTATAATTGGAGATACAGATTTCAAGACCAAAGGGATGCTCTCTGGTATGCAGTATTCCCTCTAAAATCAATAGACAAAAATTTAACTTCATGAATAATTTTATTTTTTGTGTACACAATCTTCTAGTCACATGTGCTCACACACATATTCAAATAGCATGCTAAGAACTATGAGACGCTATTAAATGCCTGATTATATTTTATGCGCTAGAGTGATGTACCCTGATGTATAACTCTAGTTCAACTAATTTTCTGGATTTAACTTACTTTGAATGGATTTTGGTACCTTCTCAATCTTATTATTGCTACAAAATGACCTGGATGTGAAAAAGATAACCATAATTTATTAAATATGTTTGGCACCCAACTCCCAACGATTCTGGGTAGCTCATAACAATCAAACATAGAAAATACAATAAAATCAGTAAAACAAAAAGAAAGGTAAAAGATGGCAAGTGTGATGAAGGTAGAGGTCTAATTAAGTGGATATGTATGACATACTTGTTCTTCTTACACTTATACTCTAATGAAACAAAACAAAAAGAACAAAAATAATGATTGTAGACTAGAAAAAGAAGATGCTGTCTGATATCTCTGTTTCTCTATACACTTGGCAGGACTGTTAGAAAAAATGTCGTTCCAGGAACACACAGAAACATCCTCAGTATTCTTTAAGAATGGAGTCAGGGAACGGATGAAAGAAAAGAAAAATGGAGTATTAAAAACAGCAAAGATGAATGCTTCCCTCGCATCAAAGATTAGAACAAGAGCAATTAGTAAGTACATATTAAACATGTAAGCATTAATGCAGAGGTATGCACGCTGCAGTTCAATGCAGTTTTTCCAACCCTCAGTGACCTCTTAAGTCATGATAGCAAAAAAGTGACAGTTTCTTGATATTTTCAGGTGAAACCAATTAAATCAGTGGTTCTCAACCTTTCTAATGCTGCGACCCCATAATACAGTTCTCCATGTTGTGGTGACCCCCAACCACTTATACATCACTGGGTGCCAGGGGCGTGGCCAAAGAAAAGGGGGAAAAAATGGTGGACAACCTTGTTTGGCGACCCCCGTGAAATGGTCATTCGACCCCAAATGGGGTCCCAACCCACAGGTTGAGAACCACTGAATTAAATACTTCATGGTATTTTACTCCTTGGGTTCATCACTTTCTCAGGGATTTGATTGATCTTGAATAGTACCTTTCTGCAAGAGAAATGCTGCAGAAGCAAGTATGTCTAGGAATATTGGGGCAGAAAAATGGTGCATAGGCTTGCCACTCCATATAGGCTTAAATATTCTATTTTGCCTCTTAGTATAAACTGAATCTTTATGTATGACTTTATGTGACTGACTTGACACCTGAGCAAAGAGACTAAAATGCATGTCTGGGATATCAAATGTTACTTCCACCTAAGTCATGTTTATCACAAATTCTATAATTGATCAAGGTCCTGTAAAAGTTTCTGAGAGTGAATACATTTTGGGCACTTGGTTGGAAAGAATACTAGAGAGATTTCACTTAACTATATCTGAAGCGACCGCAAAGTGGAACAAAAAAAAATTAATTATAGGAAGGAAAGCTGGCAAACTTAACTATTTACTACTTCAGATGAAGAAAGTTGTTGGCATGGAGACTGGGGAACTCATCCCAAAGAAACAAACTTCAGAGCTGCCTAACCTTAAACTCAAATGTGGCAAAGACAAAAACAACATCCCCTAATTCTTTGTTTCCCCCTTTTTTTTCTGTATAGATAATTCCTCTATAATTAAGGTCTCCCTGAAACAGAACAACAAAGCGTTGGCTCTGGCTCTCAATGCTGCCAAGATAACAGCTCAGAAACTTACAGATGACAAGATGCTGCTGCAGAAAGAAGTGGAGTTGGGTCACTTTGAAAATGCTTGCTTACGCCAAAAACTCTCCTCTGTGGTAGGATATTAGCAAAATTCTGTGCTTCTGCAGGAACTGGAATCTTTTTGTGTGTACTATAAAATTTGCACAATATAGAACGGGAATTTGAAATCCTAAGTCTAGATTATTTGCGTTATCATGTTCCTACCGTGTTTTCCAAAAGTAAGGCCTACTGCAGAAATAAGCCCTAGCTTGATTTTGGGGGGTGGGTGGCCTAATACAAGCCGTACCCCAAAAATAAGCCCTAGTTTTGGGGCGAGGCACAAACTTAAAAATCAAGCTAGGGTGGGGGTAGAAGTGTGGATCTCCCCCACGTACCCTGCACCCACTTACCTTGCAGCCAGGCCTCTCCTCGCCAACCCATTTCGTCTGCGGTATCTTCTGCAGCCAGGCTTGCATTTCTGAGTTACAGGCCTTTCCAGAAAGTCACTGCAGCTGAGTGGCGTGCAAAACCTCTGCAGCTGAGGACTGAGCTATGGATTGAATCCATAGCTCGATACTCGGCTGCATAGGCCTTCTGGAAAGGCCTGACTGCAAAATGCAGGCCGGAATGTAGCTGAATAATGAAGCTACTCCTTCGGCCCCAGAAGAAGTGGACCGGCAGGGCTGTCGGTGTCAGAGGTGAGTATAAAAGACATCCCCTAAAAATAAGACCTGGTGTCTCTTTTGGAGGCCCCCCTCCCCCCCAAAAAGACCTGGTCTTATTTTCGGGAAACATAACAGTGAGTAAAGAACTAGACAAAATATTAAGATAAGGTATTTTACTGGTAAATGCACTATTAAAAATATTGTTGTTCCCACAGAGTGATGTAGTTCACTGATCTCCAACCTTTCTGGCTTGGCAGGGGGCGGGGAAAGGGAATAGTTCTGTGTGAGCGGCAGGTGCATGCATTTGTGTGTGCAGTTCCATTTGCAGGTGGAACTGCATGCGCAATGCAAGTATTCATTTAAGCACCCACCACTTGCACAAGCAGAGCTGTACATGCATCTTTACCTGCTGCTTGTGTGGTTGATTGTTAATTTATTTATTTTTTGTTTATACTTTGTTGCCAATTTTTAGAACTAATATTTATTGCTACTCTGTTTTTGAGACCTAAAATCTTAGGTTAAAAAAACCCTTGGTAATTTAATTCCAAACATGTATTTTTTATGATCATGATCTTTGTTATATCAAATTACAGTACAAGTTCTGAAATATGTTTTCTAATTGTATGGAATCCAGATGCTGCAGTTACAGTCATATATAGAGGTAGTCCTCGACATATAATTATAATGAAAACTGCCCATTATGGTAAAACTATTTTATGATATTTTCTAAAAGGATTTTATGACCTTTTTTGTAGTGGTTATTAAGTGACCACTGTGTTTTTTAGTGGGCTCAGTTTTGCCGTAAATGCAGCCATGTTGCCAAGCACTCAAAGTTCAGTCACATGACTGCCAAGGGGGCCCAATCATCAGAACTTTAAATCCAGGTCATAAATCCTCTTTTTTGGGTCATTATAAATTTGAACAGTCACTAAGCAATTGATCATAAGTTTAGTAATATCCATATACAATGCTGAATTATTTAGGGAAATATAATTGTTGGCGGAGAAGTAATTTTATGGAAACTGATAAGGCTCCCAAATTTTGTCTGATAGATTAAATCTCAGTTATAAATCTCTTAGATTGTATAATTTACAAATTATATCAGGAGTTAGGGCTTCTCTGTCTCTTGTTCAACTGTCTCTGGAGAACAAGTTAAAAACATTGCCATTCAAATAACCTTGGATATAAAAGCTGAAAGAGGTATAGCTTTATAAGGTTGGTACACTGAAATGAGTGTATAAATACACCTTTCAAATTTAAAAATATCTAAATACAAAATGTTCAGTTATTTTATGAGATATTTAGTATGATTTGAACAGTTAGATACAAAGATTAAATATGGAGGATTTAACTAAGTTCATAAATACGGTTGTATTTATGATGTTCCTCAGATTGAGGATATGGCACATACTGTATGTTACTGAATGCCAGCTGTACTATATAGCAAAATGAGAGGTCAATATTGAATGAATGATTCATTGGAATCCATAGATTTGAATAACATCAATGTGGTCAGAACCCAAATATTAATAAGTCCTTTTATTTGAATAAAACAATATAACTGAAGTGCATATACAGTATGCATTGGTTTGGAAAAAGCTATAAGGATAATAAAGAAATATGAAATGCATTTTCTTCTAGTTTTGCTTTTCACTTTATTTTGTTGTGTTTTGATATGGCCTCATGACTAATTAATAAGTATATTATTGTTAATATTAGTATCCATATAACAATTTCTCCAAATGTCTCTGTAATGAAATTTGTGTCATTGAGAGGTAATGAATTCTAATGACTGCAATATTTGGAAAGAATATAATGAATAACATTATTTTAGATACTGAACTGGAGAACATTGAACTGATCCAACAAGCCAAAATTTTATTCTGAATATTAAACTAAATAGATCTAAAAAGATTTGTTTATCTTGCGCAGAAAAAATATATTGATGAACTGCAACTCTTTATGAACAGCCGTTTTCAAACTGCAATCAAGCTGACCAGATTTTCTGAGGTGAACAAATAGAAAATATTTTCAGAATGCATTTCTTTGGTTTCTGTAAACATCATTTAATCTGATTTTGTGCCAATGTGTCTGTGTTAATTCTTAGCAGCCACATAGACTGCTTTCTCTCCAGGATGATTTCCCAGACTGACTAATCAGATCTCCCAATAGCGTACCTGTTACTATAATCAAGTCCATTCATCTTGCTATTGGACTATGTCTTTTCTTTCCATCTTTTCCAAATTTAAAGATTTATTTATTTAGAAAGATACATTTCCCAAGGGAACTATGTTTTTGCACAATGTGCCCAAAATATGATAATTTGAGCCTGTTCATTTGTGTCTCATGTGAGAACTCTGGATTGGTTTGCTAACTGAAGTATTCTCTACCCAAAGTCTTCTCCTACCCAAAGTTTGGTCTTCTTCAGCACCAAAGTTCAAGAACATCAATACTCTTTTTCTCTTGATTCTTCAAAATCCAAGTTTCACATTGATAGAATGTCCAGGAAAGCTGTTGACTGAATGATTTTGATAAAATAACTTTTCCAAGACTTTCATTGGATTGGCAGAAATGAATAAGTCCTTCTGCTTCATTTCTGCTTCCTAGTCCAGTCCAACTATATTTTATTCCTTATTTCCAACTTGGGCATTCTGTTCTCTAACCACAAGCAGCACATCTTGTCTGCATGTTCTCTTGATTTCAGATTAAACTCAACCATAAAACTTGTCAATGCTTTCTTCTGCATTAGTGGTTGATGATTATAATATTAAAGGACTATCTCTGAAATCCATTTCATATTATTCAATCATTAATTACACTGTACCTACATACTGTCCTTCTGGTATCCTTCCTGACCATGAAAGCAATGTTGTTCTGTCTTTGTTTTTCATGACCTGAGTAGTAACAGCTTCCAGTCCATTTCAATTTGCTGATGCCCAAGGTATCAATTTATTTAATCTTTTACTGTGTTCTTTTTCAAAGTCTTACATTCAATATATCTTACATTCACTGTTCCTACTGTAATTCTGTCTTTGTAGCCTCAGATTATCTTTTCTTTCATGGCAACATCAGTAATCAGATGTCCTAAAAGCTTTAATTGAGTCATAAATACAGGCAGTCCTCAACTTACGACAGTTCATTTAGTGACTGTTCAAAGATACAACAGCATTTGAAAAGGTGACTTATGACCATTTTTCACATTTACATCCATTGCAGCATCCCATGGTCATGTGATCAAAATTCAGACGCTTGGCAACTGACTCATATTTATGATGGTTGCCGTGTCCCAGAGTCATGTGATCACCTTTTGTGACCTTCTAACAATCAAAGTCAATGGAAAAGCCAGATTCACTTAACAGCCGTGTTGCTAACTTAACAACTGCAATGATTCACTTAACAACTGTGGCAAGAAAGATCATAAATTGGGGCAAAATTCGCTTAAATTGTTCACTTAGCAACAGAAATTTTGGGCTCAGTTGTGGTTGTAAGTTGTACAACCACAATTAATAGTCTGTACCATTAATAGTCTGAAAGATTCTCAACTTTTTCTCAGTAACATGTTGAGTAACATCTGGCATTATATCATCTATCACTTTACCTTATCTGTTTATCTGCTTTTCTTGGTAAAATACAGGAGTCATTTACCATTGCCTTCTATTAAGTATGAAATTATGTCTTTTCTGTATTCACAAAAGCAAGCATCCACCTCCCAGAACTTTCTACATTGCTACTGCCATATAGGTATCTACATGCTTTAGGATTTGCAGCTGGAATGATCTTCATGTCTTGGGTGACATTTAGATTATGTGATGTTGGCATATACTACCAGCATTCTTGCTCATCCTTCCCAAGAACATCTCCCTGCCACAATGAAGCAGCAATAGGGTTCTCTGAACTTAGAAAACATTTAAGCATCATTCTAAAATGTACAGATTCACACTTTATGTTATGCCAGGATTTGAAAAAGCTACAGTAATTCAGTTTACACATAATAGTAATCTGTAATGAGTGAGTTCATATATGTTGTGCTTACAAAGCATATTACGACTTGGCAATATATATGAACTGGGACAAATTTAATTATAAAAATTATAAAATGAAATTTAAGAGTTAAATGTTAATCTTAAATCTTACGTGATCTTTTCTCCTGTATAGAGTGATTCCTATTCTTCATTGCTGGATGAAAGAGGGCACAGTGATACTCATGATATTTCTCGCAGTCAGGATGATAACAACTGTCCTAGGTGTGCACAAAAGCAAGTTGTATTGTCTTCAATGAAAAGAAAGTTAAGTGTATCATATTCATGGGATGGTAAATAGTTGATCCCACTTTCTTTCTAAAATAAAGTAGTATCATTGTCATTAGCACTGTTTGACAAATATAATGATGAACATTATCTACCGTTGTTGTATTGACTTGGGAAGAGTCAGCCTTTTTGTATCCTAAAGATTCAGTTTTGGTATTGTTCTGTCATTGCTTGAGGGGTCTGTGTTCTGTGTGATATTGGACACAATCTTTTAGAAAGATAAGCTTTAGGAAATGTATTCTCCCAGCGTAAAAATTCAGATCATCTTATAAATTGAACCCGTCCATCCCTACTTGCTGCCCACTTTTTTTAGGAACCCTGCTTGTTCCATTCTTCTTTGCAAGGCAGTTTATACTTGCAAAGGGAACGGCATACATAGGGCTCCATTATCCCATTTCCCATATAACAACCTTTTGATATAGTTGTTCTGCTTGACTGGCTGGCCTGAAATCTCTTAATTGAGTTTTCATGGCTAAACATGGGCTTGAATATAGAACTCCAGCATTAATGAACATCTAAACTACTACACCACATTTAATTGAATACTTAATGAAAAGAACTTTAATTGCCATATATATGGCACAACATTAACCTATTTTTGTCATTCTTTTTTCTTTTAACTTTCTAGAGTGGCACCAAAATCAATGAGAATTCCACTGTCTCAGGTGGATGATGAAGGAAGTGGCAATGGCAGAAATACACCCACCAGTTTGGAGAAATTTCCTTTAGATCCATTGAAATCTGCTTTTGATGAGACTTGGAGAAGTATGCCTTTCCCTGAGGTAAAGAAGTCGTTCTCTTCTTTCACTGACAAATTATCGGCAAGCAGTGGAAATAGTGATTCAAGGTTACATGGAGTGGATGTCTCTACTTTGGCATTTAATTCAAACACAATTTTTGGAGGTATGTTCTGGAAAAATTTTACCTTGTATTACACCATACAGAACTTTTTATGATTCAAAGGAATATTGAATTGTGAAATTGTGTTTTGAGTTGCACTGTTACATTTATTTATTTGTTCTTTGGGGTTTACTTCTATGTAAATACGTATTTACATAGAACTCAATCCCAAAATGCATGTTCTGTTAGGGTGTAGCTGTTGGATACCTCTTCCTTCTACCGATAGATGTGTGGTATTCATTACTATCGTGCTCTTTAGAATGTAATTCAGAAACATTGTTTAATTTCCGCTCAATCTAATATAGCACCATACAGGTAATTCTTAACTTATGACTATAATTAGGACTGGTGCTCCCATTGCTAAGCGATTTTGATTGTTAAATCAGTTGCACCTGATTCTACAATCTTTTTTGATGCAGTTGATAGTGAATCACCATGGTTAATAGGTGAATCATGGGGTTGCTAAGCAAATACAGCTCTCCCGCCCCATCCTTGACTTTGCCCATTGGAAATCCCCTGGAAAGATCACAGTTGGTAATTATGTGACTCTGAGATGCAACTACCATCATAAATACATGCCAGTTGCCAAGCACCCAAATTGTGATAATGTGATGCAGGGATACTATGATGCTTGTAAGTCCAAGGACTGGTCAATAAATCACTTTTTTTTAAGTATCATTGTAACTTCCAATGGTTTTAAGCTGAGGACTATCTGTAGTAAGTTACTGTCCAAAGCAAGGGGTTGGGAAGTGAACTTACTAGTTGTATCTGGCTGATATCCGCTGGAAAAATGGATAAAGTAAATGGATTTTACTAGATAGAAAGATCTCTTTTTGTATTTTTACCTCATTAAGTTTTCTAAGTGGCTTATTTTGGAGTGTGAAGATTTTTTTTGCCTAATAAATATAATTATCATTCTAGACAACCTTTGGAATGTGCCACAGAATTCCAGGAGTTGCTCACTATCTATCCTGGATAACAATTATCCTGTCCAGCAATGTGAGGATACTACAAGACCACACAGTGATAGTATATTGAGTGAACATGTGACTAAGAGAAAAAAACGTAAAACAGGTTTTCCTGCTACATTTGGAAACAACTTAGAGGCAGAAGTCTCAGACATTGATAAGCTGCAGGTGACAAAGGAAACAGAGTCTCTTGTTAAAGAGAATCTTGAAATCAGTCATGTTGGTGAACTTATTACATTGAGCACCAAAAGAGAAAGCTGTATAAAGATCAATGCCAAGGAAACAAAAACTCTAGAAAATGATAATGCTGAAACAAAGAACACAATGTTTTCTACCAGTCAATCAAAATTAAACTTGAATAATGGTAATAACCGAAGACCGGATATTAATGTTACAGTGTCAAAAACCAGTGAACTGAACAGTAGTAAGATAAAACCTCCTATGTCTGCCTGTCATGTGGAAAATTCAGATCATGATAGGAAGGAGAAACGTAGTTCCCAACATTTAGGCCAAACAACACGAAACAGAAAAACCTTTGTGATAGAGCCAAATCGTGTAAATAATTACACAACTCAAGAAATTGAAAAAGGAATATTCTTGGAAAAAATGAAGAATTTGGAAAATCAATCCCAATGTCCAGAGTCTAGATCATTAAGCAATGAAATTCAACAAAATGAGAAAAGCTGTAGTTATAGTACAAAATGCCTTAATAAAACCAAAAATTATAGAAGAACCATTGTGCTAGATCCAGGGCCTTCCAATGATAGGAACAGTTGTACTTCTTTTCAACATGATATTAAAAAAAAGACAGACTTGGAAAACTTAGATAGTTTAGGAAGATGGGTCCAGAGTCCAGAATCTAATTCATTAAACATTGTGAATACAGAAGATTCAGTTGGTTTCCAGAAGCAAGTTCCTAATCAAGAAGCAATTTCAGGACTGAATGTAAAGCGTAAATCAAAGAGGAAGGTGCATGAAAATAATGGATCCCATAGATTAAGTGAGATGGAAGAACAGAGTTTAGATAATATAGATTATGAACTTCCACAATCAGAAATTAAAAAGAAAAAGCATAGAGATAAAACAATGAATTTCGATAGGGATATCATACAGAAAGGACATTCCAAAGCCAATGCTGATGTGTTTGATTTGAATGAGAAAGCTCAAAAAGTCAGTAGAAAAAAGAAAAAATCAAAATGTACGCCATCTGTACTTTCAGTTTCTTTGGGTGATGAGGATAACTTTTTTGAAGGAAGTAATAGCTCAGTCAAAAAGAACTGGGAAACCTCAACCACCCCAAACAGTTGTTCTTTAACTAAAAAAAGTAGCCATTTAGAGAAGGCAAACTGGATGACCATCAGCAATGAGGCTGGCTTAAAAAAAAAAATGCCAACATTTGGCAAGAAAACAGGCATTGTAAATGATTTGGGTAACAACGGTACTGATTCTGAACCATTCCTTCAAGGTCCAGAGGATTGTGAAATCACTCAAACCAAGCAGACAAAATGGAGTTTTCTCCAAGTTGCAGACTGCAGCGCTTTGCAAAAGCCAATTGTGGATATTACCAAGACCTTGTCTCTAAATCCCGATTCTCCTTCAGTTGGCCTTTCTAAAAGCTCTAGGTATGTTGAAGTCCAAAAAAGCCCAGAAAGAGATTGTGCTTTGTCAATAATCTCAGCTGTCTTCAAGGAAAATATTAAGCAACTTGAGATTTCTGGAAGAGAAGAGAAGCAGCCCATACAAGCCATTGCAAAAACAAGTGCAGAAAATGCAGTCCTACAAGAAAATGGTGAGTATTAGAAGGCTGGAGACAAATGAAATTGATGGTTTATAGCAGTGGTTCTCAACCTGTGGGTCGGGACCCCATTTGGGGTCGAATGACCATTTCACGGGGGTCAGTCCGCCATTTTCCCCTTTTCTTTAGCTGTGCTACTCCCTTTTATTCTATTGACTTTTGAAAGCCAATAGAATAGACTCTCTTGAATAGAGTCTAATTCTATTGGCTTTCAAAAGCCAATAGGAATTGTCCAGGCTGTCTCTGCCCTGCTGAGCCCGCCAAAAGTCCCATTCTGCAAACAGTGCTGCACCAGTTGAGTAGTCCTCGACTTACGACCAGTTGAGTAGTCCTCAACTTACGACCGGTTGGGGGTCGCGGCATTAAAAAGGTTGAGAACCACTGGTTTATAGTGAGCCCCGAGGAGTGTCACCTGGTTTTGCCTTTCTTTTTGTGCAATCGTATATGAGTTTAGTACTTTCATTTCTGATGACCCTAATCTCTTACAATTTAGATCAAGATTTTTTTCACTTATTGGTGACTTAGAACCTTTCTATAATTGTTGAATGAAAAAGAATGTCATGGAAAGTAAGAAATTTGTGATGTAACAGAAGCTTGCCTCTATTCACTCAGACCGTATCAACATATATGATGGAAAAATCTAATTTTGGTTTCTTTATCATGAATGGAGAGTGTTGGGATTGCAGCCAAGAAACAATTAAAAGCTTTTACTATAGGAATAGCAGAAAAAACTAACATAAATGTATATAAATGAATTAATCTTTAAGATAAAACATTCCTACATTTATCTGTTGTTTTACAAGCTATAAGATACAGTGACTTAAGAATTGTCATCTTAATTCTTACCTTGTTTCTTAATTTAACTTTTTTTTTTTTTTGTCAGATTCATTGTCCTTAAAAGATATTTCTAAAATGACATTACTGGTAGTTAAAGGCTGTCCATATAGGAACTTTCTATCATGATTAAATAATCTGAGCAGATTAACTCAGGTTTTATACAGTTGGCCATGTAGGAATTGGTTACTTTATTTCTGCTTGAGAGGAGTGTGGCCAATAGGTACATACCTGAAGAGTAACCTAAATATGAAAAGCTGGTTCACATTAGTAAAGTTAATGTTAAACTACGAAGTATGTTTAGCGTGCAGAAGAGAAAGCTGAGAGGGCCTGATAGCTGTCTTCAGATATTCACATTGTAGGTTTGGACTAATTTTCACTTGGTCCAAACAGTAAAAGTTAGAACTAATGGGATGAAAATTCAAGGATGTAGATGCAGATTAGAGATTAGGAATAAGGTAGTCCTTGGTTTATAACCATTTGTTTAGTGACCAAAGTTTCAATGGCACTGAAAAAAGTGATCAACTGGTCCTTACACTTGTAACCAATGCAGCATCCCCACGAACACGATTAAAATTTGGGTGCTTGACAACCAGTGTGCATTTGCAACAGTTGTAGCCTACTGAGGTCATGCGATCACCATTTGCAATGTTCCTAGCTGGCTTCCAGCAAGCAAAGTCAACTGGGGAAATCAGACTCACTTAATGACTGCATGATTTACTTAACAACTGCAGTGATTTGGTTAGCAGCAGTGGCATAGGAGGTTGTAAAATTGGACATGACTCGCTTAACAAAAGAAATTTTTGTCTCAATTGTGGTTATAAGCTAAGGACTACACGTAATTCCTTACAGTAAGAGCTGCCCACCAGTAGAATAATTTATCAACATGGAGAGGTTTCTTTCCCTCTGAAGTGGTTTTCAAAAAGAAGCTGGATAAACATCTTTCAGGGATGGTGAAAGGGAGTTAGACCTGATGACTTCTTAGGTCCTTTCTTACTCTTTAGACTTCTGTTCTTCTCCTTGGAAGAGGTGAAGGATAGCAACCAGTAATACCTTACTGGTAAATAATAACTCAAACTACTGTAAGCTATTTGAAAGACCACAGCTATCGAATATTATATAATCCTAGATACATATACTCAGAAATTATTACTCCCAATTAACAGGCAAAGGGCTGCAGTATAGATGATTAAAAATGAAAATTAATCTAATAATCTTTTACTTAATTGTAATTTACAGCTGTTTAGTAACTGAATTCTCCTGGAAGTATTGACTTATCATAAGCATTGGTTAGTTACTTTACTCTATTCACAGGGAACAAAGTACTGAAAAATTTGACCAATTCCATCCCTCTTGAAACTACAATATATCCAAGCCGACGAAGAAAAAAGGATATTTCCTATGTAGAGCCTAGCCTGAATAGGTTAGTTTTGCATTTTGTTCCACATAGGTTTTTTAAGTGGGGTGTACAAACTGGATGTTGTTTTCTAGATAGGAAGTCAGTATAGTATTTATAACAAATACATTTTTTTTCTGCAGAAAATTGAGGCGTGGTGACCCCTTTACAATTACTGACTTCCTCAGTTCCCCTATCTACAAAACAAAAAAGAAGAAATTGACAAAAGGAACTGAAACGTCCAGGACACCCAAGAACATTAAAAAGGAAATTCAGCCTAGATTTAGTGATTAGTATTTAGACAAAGAGCAACACAATTGTTTCCTAAATAATGAGTTTTTTTCTTAATTTACCTAGTTTTAGCTACTTAATTTTAAAAATAAAATTCTTTTTTACAAATATTTGTTTCTCAAACTAGGTCTGTTGAATTACATCAGATTTATTAAGATGCATTGGAAGACCTATATGTAAGCTTGGTAAAATGTCAAAATAACTAGAACACCCAAAATCAGGTATTCTATCTTCTTACATGTCTTCTGTATTATGATCATTATGCTTATTATTTACTGCAACAAAAATGTGCCTTTCAATTTTTATACAATAGCAGGGGAATAGAGTAATCCAAGTACTGTACAGGAAAACAAGACAAAGTCAAGACATTTATTTTGGTTGGAAAGCAGATTTCATGTAATCACAACTTTACTGATTTTGGCCTAAGACATAAAATAATAAAAAAAATCCTTCATTAAATAAATGTTCATATAGAAAACAGTGTAAGAAAAAAATAGAAAAAATACTTTATGGAGAAGAGTTATTTTGTTGTGTAACAGATTAATGTATTCAGAGAGTTTGGAATAATGTTTCAGTAATTGGTATAAAATTGTTCACTTAAATGGGTAGAATTGTAAATGGTATTTTAATATTCAAATGAATCTTATCTTAGTTCTCAAAGAAAGGATATTATAGTTTAGATTCCACTGTATTTTAAAACCTTGAATATATAATCAGCACAGCTTTATTTTTGGGGGGGAAGTAACTATCTTTTTTTTTAACAGAAATATTGCATGAGGAGAAAGTAGTAACAGAGTTTTCCCAGTGAGGAGGATGTTAAAATGTGTCCTACTTCAAATCTAGATCTACTTCTTCAGAATTTGTTGTGGGGACAGGCAAACACAATTGTACCACATTTTTCAAGATGTTAAAAATAAGTTAATGTGATTTTTCCATCAATGAATAGGTCATGAAATGGTAGATACACTTCAAGGTAAGTATAAACTCAGTGAAGGCTTAAAAGCTACACTTTTTGCAAAGGCTTATTCCTATGTATTACTTTCAATTTCCTAATTTTTTTTTAAATTAAATGGGCATCTGGTGTGTCACAGAGTATTTGAGTAACACTCTTCCCTCCTCCACAATCATTTAACATTGTACTCTTCTTTGAAAATAGTTCCAAAGAATTCAAAATAGAATAGTTAATTTTGAATTCTTGTATGCAAACTTTTTATCTGGTTTACCTAATCCTTTTATATTTCTCATGTGCTATGTACAACATGATAAATTTTCTGGATAAAATGAAACAAATCCAATGTGTTGCCCACATACAATTTCTATCAAATATTTTTTTAAAAAAATAGAAGATTGCAATTCTGTGCTTGGTTAAGAATGGGAACTGTTGGACAGGAAAAAAAAGGTAAACGTGAATTGAGCATCCTGGAGACTGGAAACCATGTTCCCACCATGGTTCCCATCTTGGTATTTTGCCTTCCATTAATGGGTGTTCTGTGTTGATAGTTGTGTACATTTTAGCGTGAAAATGTACATCAGCTTTTCAATTCTGTCACAGGTCCAACAGTGATGCAGTGTAATCTGCACTTCCAATTTTTTCCAGGTTCTTAGGGGACAAGAGATGCTCATATCGGTACTTACATATCAAGATGGTACTGTTGCCCTCTTATACAAGAGCTAGATCTTAGTCTGTTGTGCACTGGGTTAAAACTTATCCAGCCTTTTTAAACTGAATATTCTGTATCCTTTCAAGTGGCAGGATAAATTTGAAAGTTGCTGAATTTTAAGCTATAATTCACAGATCACAGGACACAAGGATGGGTATTAGTGTTTATTTCCTGCTTTAAAAACCAATGTTACCGCTGACCCAAATTGGGTGACAAGTTAGTTTGAAATGCTCCATTGTAAGCTACATGTGCAAGCAGAAAGCAATTTTTCCTTCTCTTTAGTTAGCTCCCAGATGTAAGGAAATTCAAGGATTGTTTCTGCCTGTATTGTGTATAAGACTGTGTCGTAGTAAAGCTTCCTGTAAAACATTTTTCTCTTCCTTCCCACCACAAGTAATTAAAATCCTCTTATAACATTGTCCATATCAAGCTGGATTATATTTTTCAATTTCATTAAAATGATTGGTCAGAAGGATCTTCTGCATTCTGTATATAATGTAATGAGGAGTTAGAAAGTAAAATTCTTAAAAATGACTTAATTTAGAGCCCCTTCCCCTTCGACAAATATTAATTTCTCTAGGGGTTCTGGCTGACCAGGAAAAAGCTATTTTCCATAGAGATGAACATCAATTCTGCCCTTCCCTATGTCTTTCCTCCTCTCTTAACATTACAGAAAGCTAGAGAGTGGGAGAGTTTGATCATTACATTTAGGTTGATTTCTTTTTGAAGTGCTACCTTTATATATATATAGTCATTCATCCATCCATGAGATAGTTGTCTTTCCAGAGCAAATACTTCAAGCTCTGCTCTTACAATCTTGGCTGAGAAGATAATTTTGTCTTCAAGTTTTCAGCAAGTTTATCCATGAATTCAAATGTGTTCAAATAATCGGAGCGCTTCACACTGTGATTAAAACGAAGCAAAACAATAGTGTAAATTCAAGAGTATAAGAAATGCTCTAATGTATCTATTTTTTATACAGGTAGTCCTTGACTTACAATTTGTTTAGTGACCGTTCAAAGTTACAACAGCCCTGAAAAAAGTGACTTATGACCATTTTTCACATGACTGTTGTAGCATCCCCATGGTCATGTGACCAAAATTCAGATGCTTGGAAACTGACTTATATTTATGATGGTTGCAGTGCCTGAGGTTATGTGGACACCTTTTGCGACCTGACAAGCAAAGTGAATGGGGAAACCAGCCATATTAACAACAGCAATTCACTTAACTGTGGCAAGAAAGGTTGTAAAATGGATCAAAACTCATTTAACTGTCTCACTTAGCAACATAAATTTTGGGTTCAATCATCGTAAGTTGAGGACAACCTGTAACCAATAGGTACATGTGTCTTACATTTTCAAAAAACTAGTTCTGTCTCCAATTTTTAAAATGAGTTTTGATTTGATTTTTATTATTAGACAGTGTATTTATTAAAAATTTCCCAGAAGCAGATAGGACATGTTAGCCATCCGGAATCATTTAGGTGAGATGGGTGGCCTATACATTCATTAAATAACTAAATGAATTTTAAAACATTTTAAATATTCTGGTATTTCTTTGAAACAGATCACTTACTTAGGCAGCCCTTTAATGCAAGCAGACAAGTCTTTTGTCATGAAACCAGCTTCGATTGTCTCTACACAGACATCCTCCAAGGCTGAAGCAAAATTCTGGAGGTCTTGGTTGTTATCTAATTTTGCTCTATGAGCTAATCCTCTGGTCCAGGCAAAGATGGATGCTAGGACGATGGGAAGAGAGAACTCAATTAACAACATTGTTCAACTAGAATCTGAATTGCCTACATTATTTTTTTTCCATACTCTCAGTCTAAAAGATAACCTAACAATCTATATTGACTGTTCAGTATGACTACTGATAACATTCACTGAAATAATTCCACTTTATTCTCGAGCAGATTTTAGAGAGTAACCTGTGGTTATATAGCCAAAGATGTTGTACAAATTTTCCTACTTCCCATACTCGGAATCTCTTCCTAGCGTTCATAAGATTAACATCAGTTAATTAATTAGAGGCTGGTCATCACACTTTCATTCCTGGAAGCAAGTTTCAGTTTAACACCATAAATGATGTAGCAATAGTCACATACACAATGCAAACATTCCACATTTTTTTCTGTAAACTGATAGGCCCATATGATTAATTCCGAGGCAGTTCTTTTGCTAATAGACCTTTATGATTTCAAGGGTTCATTTGAGCTATGCTGTGACATTCATTTAAGACACTAGGTTAGACTGGGGGTGGTAGAACCCACTTACCTATGGGATTAGTGGAGGTTTCTTGGCCTTTCTGATGCAAGCGATAGTGACGAGTCACTGTGCCATGAGCAGCTTCAGCCTCAACAGTTTTGCCATCTGGGCATATCAGGACACTTGTCATCATTCCCAAAGATCCATAACCTAGACAGGAGAATGAACTAGGCAATTAGTGTTTTTGAAAATGTATCACTCCTAGTTTGGCAATTCTTGACTGCAACAGCATTAAGAAGCAGACAGAGCAACTAACTTGACTACTTATTTTTATCTAAAATGCTAGGTAGACTACCAATTTGGAAAAAAAAATGATTATCTGGCATTACTGATAACTGATCTTGCTATCAAATGGAAAGCGAACTTTTTTTCAATTTCATTCTTGTTTAAGGATTTTTAAAATTATCATTAATCTCCTTTTTTATTTTACATTGAGTTTAGTATGGGGTGATTTAAATGTACAATTTTCCAATTCAAGGCTAAAAAAAGTTGGTTACACTATACCTGGTTTGATTCAAACAGAAACTGTCTATACATTTTATAAAGAGAAATATGCCTTTGCAGAAAGAAGTGAGTAAATGTATTATCACACAATAATTATGTTATCCCCAAAGCAAGTAGTGTTAACTTCACTTGGAAAATGTAGCATGTAAACCAGGCTTCAGACATTAACAAATCCAAAAAAACATCAGCAGTATTAGGGAAGAGGTGATGTAGACCAAATGCTGAATTTTCAGTATTTATATTATTCTCAAAAAAGAACAATTATAAAACTTTAATTATGAACTGAAGCTACCTAATAAATTATATACAAAGCTCTGTTCTGTAAATTTCCTGAATATGTTAATTGTATAATTTTAATGGCCAACATTAAGAAAATCATATGGTTGCCCAGTAATTTTGTAACAATGAACTCTAACATGAGCTACATATAGCCATTCTGTCAACACTGCTAACATCAGATGTTTTGCATTGACAACAGATGAAAATGTAGCCATCTTTTTCCCTTTCGGTTTTAGAGTTAGATAATGCTGGGGGGGGGGGGATGTGAATGAGAGTCTAGCTAGACCAGGGGTGTCAAACTTAATTTCACTGAGGGCTGCATCAGCATTGCAGTTGCCCTGGGGGGGGGGGTGGATGTGGCCAGAGTGGGTGCAGCCTACTGGGTGGGCGTGGATGGAGTGGGTGTGGCCAGTTCTATATCATTCGTGTCAAGGGTGCCTATGGGAGCCTGGGCAGGAATGGGACAGATCTGAGGGTCTCTGGCAGAAGGGGGTGGGACTGGGGCAAGTGCCAAGATGGCCACCACAAAATTGTACATTGGCTCCCGGTTGGTCTGGGCCAGGGCCAAGGCAGCGGGGGCCGTTCCCTCACTGTTTCCAGGATGGCTTGGCAGGCCACATGAAACCACTTCACAGGCCGCATCCGGCCCCCGGGCCTTGCGTTTGACATGTCTGAGCTAGACATAACAACACTAAACCTAGCGTGAGAATCAAGGTTATTGGGCCCAGAGCTGATAAAGAATTGGTGGGCTGGAGAACTGGAGAGGAAGCCTGAGCTTCAAGCTAATTGGGGAATGTGATTTATGACTGTTCATTGGAGGAGGGAATTATGCTTTCATATTATATGCCCAGGGGAGGGGAATTCAGTTTTTGGCTTCGATTATGTAGTGCTGATATTATGCTACTCAAATAAAAGCTTTAGGTAAACAATGCCTCGAAGTTCTTTTGAAAAGTTTCATCAGTCGGAACCATGACATATTCCTTTCCTTTTCAAACAAGGTTAGCTCCTTAACAGTGATGTATAGGTAGTCCTTGACTTACAATAGTTCATTTAGTGACAGCATTGAAAAAAGTGACTTATGACAGTTTTTCACACTTATAATAATTAGTTTATTGATTAGCCCATAGGCCATATCAATACAAAGTTCCAAACATATATTAATAAAATCCTATAAAAACAATTTAAAATGAAATTGGAGTAAAATACAATAATTTAATATATAGACAAGTAAAATAAGAGAAAATTATATTTCAGTATCACCCCTACAATCTATGCTGATCTTATCCAAACCATCTTACTCAAGTACTCTGCAGTGTTAAGTGTTGTTTTCAGATTCTGGCCACATTCATGGTGATGTGATTGAAATTCAAATGCTTGGCAACTGACTAATGGCGGTTGGAGTGTCCTGGGATCATGTGATCAGCTTTTGCAACCTTCTGACAAGCAAAGTCAATGGAGAAAACAGATTCACTTAACTGTGTTACTAACTTAACAAGGAATCATTGTGATTCACTTAACAGCCTTAAGAAAGGTTGTAAAATGGGTCAAATTAAGAAATTAACTTAACAACTGTCTTCCTTA